CAAAAGGATTTTACATTCATTCTTATATGAGTTGATTTGTATCAACAGCAAATGGCTGAACAGAGTTGAGGGTAGGAGCAGTGTGGGGTGGGGGGTGGGGGGAACCATGGCCAAGATAATGACGTTCCATGTGGATGCGAAGGGCTTTTACATTCATTCAAGTAAGAATTAATGGTGGACGGCCCGAGGGGTGTGGGGTGGGGGGGGAACCATGGTCAAGACAATGACGTTCCATGTGGATGCAAAAGGATTTTACATTCATTCTTATATGAGTTGATTTGTATCAACATGCAAATGGCTGAACAGAGTGGAGGGTAGGAGCAGTGTGGGGTGGGGGGTGGGGGGGAACCATGGCCAAGATAATGACGTTCCATGTGGATGCAAAGGGCTTTTACATTCATTCAAGTAAGAACTAATGGTGGACGGCACCAGGGGTTTCGCATTGGTGGCACTACCACCACCTACGACGACGACTACTACTACTACCACCACTACTACTACTACTACTACCACTACCCAGGACATCAGTGTCTTCTTTTGGAAATGTTTTGGTTTTGGTTTCCTGGTTTTGGTTACCGAATCAGCGGTTTTGGTTACTGAATCAGCGGTTTTGGTTACCGAATCAGCGGGTTTTGGTTACCGAATCAGCGGTTTTTTTATCGAATCATAGTTACCGAATCAGCGGTTTTGGTTACCAAATCAGCGGTTTTGGTTACCGAATCAGCGGGTTTTGGTTACCGAATCAGCGGTTTTGGTTACCGAATCAGACGTTTTGGTTACCGAATCAGACGTTTTAGTTACCGAATCAGCGCTTTTAGTTATCGAATCAGCGCTTTTAGTTATCGAACCATAGTTACCGAATCAGACCGTTTGATTACCGAATCAGACGTCGACCTGGATCGAACCGTTGAGTTGTAGCAAGCTAGGCTCCTGTGAAATGAAAGGCATCATGAGGACAACCCAGGAATCTCTGATTCCAAGTCATTCTTTTTTATGGGTGCGAGTGTGTGATTGGCAACGATGATGTTGCGTTGTTCAAGGCAGCAGGGGACAGCTGGTTCCAAGCCCTGGAGCTTCTGCGTTGTTGTGGCCTACAACAGGTGCAAGTCGATGGTGTTGCGCAACCTGGCTCAACACAGGAGGACGACAGATTGGAGATGGTGTCTGCGGAAGAATCCAATGCCGTATGCTACTGTATGGCGCCTGAGCCTTGTGGATGCCAGCTGGATAACTGAGGTGGCTATTCTGGACTCAAGTCACCAGACTTGGTATATAAAAGAATCATCCAAAACAACAAAATAATTAGCTAGTCCTACTCCTTGGGAAGTGACTGATTTGAGCGGTTGTGCTTCAACTCTTTTCTGCAAGAAGTCCACGACTGCCCACACCTTGCCACAGGTTCACTGCTGCCATCAGTGCGGTGCAGGAGCGTTGGGCCTTGGGCATTCGATTGCTCGGCAGGCCGGTTGGAACGTGTTGGTGAAGATTGCGCACCTGATCGTGCATATGCAATCATGCACTGCAGATACGCGTGAATCTGACCTGGTGCATGCACAATAGGATTGCCGCTCAACGCCTGGCGGAGAATATCATCGCCGTCAATGCTGCCGCTGCAACCCTGGAGTACAACCACAAATGGTGCTTGGCTCTATACCTTTGTGAGGCCAGGTCAGCAAGGTTTGACCCCATGATGCCCCAGGTGTGCATTCATATTTATATTAGATACAACTTAAATTTGAGATGTCGGAAGCACAGTAATTATCCGAATTGCAGCAGGTTCCCTATTGGCCGTCCGTCATTGATGAAGCTAGCTCAATCCCATGGGCATGTGTCATGTGTGCTTGGCTGAGGCTGCATCGATGTTAGGTTCGCCTCTCGAAAGCCCTGGCTATGATGCGATTCTGGCTGCTTGCAGTCGTGGCAGAGCATGGCAAGCGGTGCGGGGCACAGAAGATGTGAGGGAAGTCGTGACAGAGACTTTGTCATTTGCCTGTTTGGCTTAGACCGGAGGCACGATAAGAGAAGAAACATCAAACACATAAGGTAAAGGGGAGCTTTAACAAGGCCCCCTTTTGGTGTCTTATTTAAAGGATATGATATCTTTGACAATCTTATTCATTCTTGTTGATTGTTCTGTTTCTTCTTTACTATTCTTTCTTCCTTCTTTAAATGTTCTCTTTCTCTCCTAAAGGACTTTGTCTCACTTGGTCTTGTTTTGGGAGCTTCACCATGACAGGTCTTGCAGCTCAGTGGCGCGATGAGCAAGGCGGAGGTACTTTGGCCTTCTTCGGCCTTGCCCTGCTTGGCCTCGTTGAATCGTCCCGTAACGTGGTTAACGTGGTTTCCGCGAGCGATGATGCACGTCGGCGTAAACCTCACTCAGGTGCGGTTTGGTCACATGGCTTGCGGTGCTCGCTTCGAGGCACGGATAGGGTTTGTTGGATGGCGCCCGTGGGGCGGTGAATTCCCTGAAGGCCTTGACCTTGGCCGGTCTTTGGGACGAGGTCCTGAAGCTCTTGGTGGAACTGCCGCAACTCTCCTTGCGGCCATCCAGCGAGGCACTGAAGGTGCCACACTTGGAGCCGAAGAAACCAAGCTGTAGGGCTTGAGGGAGTGTTGATCAGGTTCAGCAGGTCTTTTTTCCAGAGTCAACTTGTTTCACTACCGCTTCTCAAAGGCTGGCTTAGCTGCGCTGGAGCAAATGGGCCACAAGGTGCAAGAAGGGGCCGGGCATGGCCGGATTGTGCAGCTCAAGTGCGACGAGCTTCGATTCTCGCAGCTGAGTTGAAGTAAAAGCTTTGAACATTTCCGGAATTGCTGAAACGATTGGAAAGGAAGTGTTTTTCCCAGGCAGAGCAGCATCAGTTCCAGATTCCACAACGGGGAGTCTTTAAGAGCAGCTGGACCGCAAGCAATGCTGAAGCCCCGCGGCCAAGTGAGCCCCTCTATCATTGCTGCAGAGGGCTTAAGCGCCAGTGCTAGTTGTGGCAGCATGCTTCCTAACAATGTCATGAACCGCTCTTGATGGGCCAAGTTTCAAGAGATAGGCATGACACAGAGTTTATCAGAGTTTCCCACAGCCAAGACTAACATTTATAGGGCGCAGTTTTAGGGCAAGCAGACGTGCAGAGCTCTGAACCTATTGTCCCATATTGTCTGCAGGTGAAGATCGCTCAGCTTGTCGCTGGCGAAGCTTTGGGCCCCTGGTTTTGCCTCACCGTCGTAAGGCATTGGAAGGGTTGGGAGAGATCGTGGGTGTGGGAAGCAATTTGGCATATTCTGGCGTGATGATGCCTTCCCAATATCTTCGTCATTCGCTGCCTGAATGTGTGTGTATATGTATATGTTATTTTAAACAGAAGCCTCCCACCCAAAATCCAGAATTCATCATCGGCTGTTTGATCGGGAAGTGGTTGGCCTCGAAGAAAAGCAACATCGTTTGCTTGGCTGGCTGGCATCCAGCAAACTCCATGTGGGCTTTGAAGTTTGTAGCCAACTCCAGTCGTCGCCAACCGTTTTCCCATCCAGGGGACTCGGTCTTCGTCCTCGGATTCCAAGCAATGTGCTGCGAGGTATGGAGAGCACCTGCTTTGCATGAGCAATCGGCGCTTGTACTGCCTGCAGAGCTACCAGAGGTTGAGCCCTCAATGGGACGGCCTCTTGGTGGCCAGCGGGTGTCCTTCATTGTTTTCCCTGCCTACTCAGTACGACTACTCTTGATTTGTACCTGTTTGGTTTGGATGTCCAACAATGCTTGCTGATAGCACGCACTCACTGTGCATAAGGAAAACTTATCACGAAAGGTAGCCCCCCAGAGGATACCTTGAGTTTGTCTTGCGAAGCACGTGTGGGCTCCTCTGGGTCTAATAATTGATAGTTCAATTCAACCCCACCTCTCTTTGAATTGATTGTTCAATACAGACCCCCCCAATACCACTGTTGAGGCCCCTGCCCGGTCGTCGTACACCAACCACCGTTACTCCCAAACCACGTTTTACACCAACCACTGTCTACGCACCTGCGCGGTTTACACCAACCACCGTTTTACGCTCACCACCGCTTCAATGCCTGTTTTACATGCTTCTATTCTCTTCCCGCTGTCCTACCTTTCGTGTCTCCCTCTTCTCAAGTTGACCACTGGCATCCATTGGAAAGTGTCAGGCATGGTGGAGGTGGAGCTCTTCGAGTGGCCGGAGTTACACTCCAAGCCGGCTGTCTTTCAAGAATTTGTTCAACAGCTGAACAAGGCTGAAGGATACAGCTTTCAGGATGTGACTCTGCGTCCCGGAGCGTCCTGAGTGCAATTTATGGCCGGCACCTGCCTTGCGTGAGCCAAATCTAAATAGCTTTGGGACACAACTGGGCTTGAATGGCTTGCTGCTGCTGAGTTGCGGGAAAAGAGCCATGGTTGAGCTGTTGCCAATGCCATGGTTGAGCTGTTGACGCGCCAGACGTAGGTCGTTGAGCCAATTGATGTGCCGTGCAGCAAACACCCCCCACATGTCATGTGAATTTGAGGTGCAGTTGTGCATGGAGTCGGTCAACCTGAGATGGGCGCATCGATTGGGCAAGTTCGCTTAGCTGTTGCCGCAGATTCTGATGAGCCCCGCTTCTGATGGAAGCCTGTTACAAACAAATGGAGAAACAGAGAAACAAACCGCAGAACACATCAACCGTTGAACATGCGCAGTTTGAAGAAGGAGACCTGAGAGACTCCCGTGGAAGGAATTAAAGATGTTAGGAGACTGCGGCTCCCAGTTCTGTTGATGACAACGTGATGACCTTTCCTTGTCGATACCCTTTAGGACTGTAGGAATCCAGGCTTGTGATGGCTCGTGAGAAGCTGCAAGCTAGAATCAAAATCCGGCGTGCCCCTTTTGATTCAACTATACAGATATTATGATATTATGTTATTTATGTATATGTTCTTCAGACCTCATCATTCTAGCCGCGCACTTTAGCATATCCTTAAAATGGGGATGTAGGTACAATGTAGGTCCAGGTGCTTTGTGTCCATAGCATGTGAATGCCTGGACCTGAAGAATGAGCTAACCTCCCGACCTTGCTAAATGCAAGGGTTCCCAAATCTGAGAGCTTCACAAGCTGGAAAGAGTGATTTGTGGAGCTGGACGATCGTACGATAGCACAGGTATGTCGTTCTGCTTCTAGCTGGCAGACCATGGCATCCAGCATTGGGCAACCGAATTGGGTGCAGAATCACGGGCACCCCTTGCATTTGGTTGTTAAAGCTGTGGCTCTTTAGTTTCAGCTTGCAGGTTTGCGTGCAACCAACCAACTTGTCAGGCAGACGGTGGGGGGATGTCGCAGCCGGACGTTTGCGCTCACACATGCTCTTTCAAACGTCCGGCAGTACTTACACCGATGTGAGCGCACCGGTCCGTGTATTTTTGATTCCACAGCTTGCAGAGTATGAATGTCCTTGTAGACATTTGTAGACCTGTGAGCTTGAATGTCCTGAAATTGTGCGCACCGGTCTCACAACCAGAGATGTGTTCATTTATTCTTTCCTGGCAACATGTTTGCTTAGTCACTAAGTCCAATTCGGCAGGCGTGAATGCTGATGTTCCACCAGAGGACCGACCTCACAGGTAACTTCTTGACTCTTGGACTCTTAGATGTCATGAAGGAAGGGAGGGGGTGGCGCGGCGAGATGGCCACAAATCCGTTGTGACAAGACATTGGCGTTTTCATTTACCGAGTTTCGTTCTTCATGTTCTCCTTTGGTAGGATCCTTTGTACACCCGCCTGTGCCGAACTGTGCAGAGATTGCGACAGATGGTGCGCACTTGGTGTGTTCACCGTCGGTGTCAGAATCAATCTTCAGAGGAATGATGTGATATGAGTAATTTAACAGATATGAGACATCTGAGGTAATCAGGTCGCATAGTTCTTGCATGGTATAGTATAGTCGTTGGAAAACCAACATAACGTGAAGAACGGCGACGATGCCAAGTGGCTCAAGATCCCAGTCGTGTGGGCAAAGAACACCCGCGCGCTGTGCGAATGGCAGCATCAAGCCGGGATCCAGGCAGGCCAGCGGGATTTGGAGTTGCTGAACGACTTTGGATCACCCAACGTTTGCACTTCCGTTCTTGTGATGGGATTTTATTTGGTGGATAACCCCACCTGCACAGACACAAATACAGATATAGGTATATATATATATATCGTTCTTGTCAATTGCTCAAAGTGCCAAAAAGTCATCACATTGCCGAAGCTAGCATTTGCTTCCAAGAACTGGCCTGGAATACCTTCTGCAGTTTGTGCCGTGCTGGAAGCCACCACAGTTTCCTGGTGCTGCTAATCTTTGAGTGAGATGTCGAAACTCCTAGCTGTCTCGGGATTTAGTCAGCCTCTCACAAATCTGAATGACCTTGGGTTGACCCCGCCGAGAGTCAGGATCCACATTACCATGGCCGTCTTGAGTCCAGAGTCCAGAGAGCTTGACACATGTTGGATCCAATTGCCACTTGAGCCAAGCTGCACGAAGGACACGGGTTGAATCCCTTCTTCCGCGCGGTGAGCCGCTTTCGGCAGAGAAGATGGGATGAGTGCATTGATATTTGCACGGAGCTTTTGGAACAGCAGCTTGGTGCTTTCTCCCCACAATGGCCGTGCATGTACACGTGCATGGAGGTGCATGGAGGTTCTGTTTTGAGGGTCTCCATGGAGAAGATAATGTAGGAGCGCAATTTGTGGCACTTTGTTTCATCCTAAAGCTTGTCATCAGCTGAAGATTAGTGACAGAAGTTCCTTTCTGCCGACAGAGACGGCCGAATGCCAAGGAATCCGCGAGACCAGGCCGCCTGGTTCCTGAAGTGCCGGGCTTTGACCTCCAAGCAGTGGATCGACGATGTTGAGACACCCGGTTTGCAAGAACTGCTATCAGCTAGGTAACGATCACAGCAGTGAATGGTGGATTCAGTTGGAGCATATATATATATATATACAATATTTTGGAAACACATTGACTTAACAGATGGACTGGCCTGGCAGTTGCCCTGCCTCCTGCTACTGTACTCTGCTTCACATCCGAGGATCGACGAGGAAGGGGTCGCCGACCTGCTGCTGGATGAGAGCCTCGGAAGTGCATCATATTGAGACCATTGGGGTCATTGCGCCCGTACAACAAGAACGAAGGTGGATGAAAGCACAGAAACAATCTATTTGGACGATTTCATGGGGTCTCAGTGCAGTCTCCTTCTTTAAATGTTGGCCTTGGTTGCACCGAGGAACGCAGTGGCTCAGGCGCCCAGGCCGGGGACCTCGCTGAACCGGCCACGCACAGAGCTTTGACGATATTAGTTAGTGGAACCCGGAGAAGTTGAAAGGACGTAGTTGGCTGGTTCAGTGCAGGACAGCTTGGGACTCAGTCAACAGAGGCAACCTTTTGACTCAGCTACGCAATGGTCGAGGCCCAACAAGGGCCACTGAAAATGCAACAGCCCAAAGGAGGCTACTTTGAAAATCTTTGAAGCAGTGATGGCTTCCCTAAGGAAGCTGGCGGCGGGCCCACCCAGGTGGTGCGCCCGGTCTCCGCCAGCGGGCGACCGCTGACGGGCTTCGCGCGGCCGGGCAGCAACCGGCCGACGAGCTCCTCAGCGGGGCGGGATATCACCACAGCCATGCAGGGCAACCGTCCAGGGACCTCCAGGTCCGGAACCATGGACTGAGCGAGTAGCGCGGATGCGTAGGGGTGTTCAGGAAGTCCATTTCTATTTGAGCTTGGGTGCATGGGAGTAAGTGTGACACTAATGATGTTCACTCATGGGACCAACCTTGTGAGACAAGTTTCAGAAGTTGCGAGGAGGGACGGCAAGACGGATGTGTTGCTAATGACACCCGTGCCTCTCTGAGAGTTGCAGGCCCCTCACCTCGATGGGTCGACTAATTCGCCTGGGAACCGCCTCAATGAATCAGGACCAGGGCTGCCAGGGCTAGGTCGGTTAGGTTTGCTTGATATGTTTGCAGGCCACCTCACTAGGATTATGGTGCACAGGTCAAACATCACATTTGCATTTTGCGGAATGGCCATTGGTTGTCCGCGCTGGATGAATCGGGATGAGAAAGCTGTGTGGGCCTGGTCAGGATGGTGGCGAATTTGTCCGCTTGGAATCCTTAGATCTGCAAAAATATGCACAGCGGCCTGCCATCGCGAAGGCACTGTGTGACTACATGCTCCTTGTCTCAGTCATACAGCCATGACCAGCTGAGGTTTTGAGGCAGCTGTGCCTGGGCACTGTGTCTTTGTCTAGGCAACTTGTGGTGAGCGAATCACGAAAATAATTGAAGTTTTGTTGCATCTTTGTGGCTCGAGCAGTGCCTTTTTCGACGTCATGTCCTCACAGCCCAGTGCTCCTGTAGGCGTGGCTCCGGCCGCCACTGCCTTCGTCGCGCCGCACGTCGCGGCTGCGCGCCTTCCGCACAGCCACCGGCCCTCACGGGGTGCTGAAGCGCCCAGCTCCTCCGCGGCAGCGGGTGCTCTACCCATGTTCCTCCTTGGCACGGCGGGTGTGGCTGCCTGCCGTCGTGCAGCCCGTGGCAGTGCCGTGGCCTCCCGTGCCATGCCACGGAAGCCGGGCAACACGCGGGCACTGCGCGCTGTGACCACGCTGCAGGCCGAGGCCCAACCACAACGGGTGGCAATGCAGGCAACAGCTGTGGCTGAGGCGCCCACCGAGACTTATGAGATTGGACAGAAGCTTCATGGCTGGACGTGTGTCCGTGCTGAGCACATCAAGGAGTACAGCTGCACTGGCTACGTCTTCCAGCATGACCAGACGGGTGCCGAGCTTTTGTCCATGGTGCAGCCGGCAGATGAGAACAAGACGTTCAGTGTGGTCTTCCGGACCCCTCCGGAGAATTCCAACGGCATTGCTCACGTGTTGGAGCACTCCGTGTTGTGCGGCAGCCGGAAGTATCCGCTCAAGGAGCCTTTTGTGGAACTTATGAAATCCAGCCTGCAGACCTTCCTCAATGCCATGACCTTTCCAGATCGGACGTGCTACCCTGTGGCCAGCTGCAACTTGAAGGACTTCTACAATCTGATTGATGTCTACATGGATGCAGTTTTTTTTCCCTCGGGCCATCGATGATCCTCGAGTTTTGGCACAAGAAGGGTGGCACTATGAAATTGAGAAGAAGGACCAGGTTGCTCACCTGCCTGTCCCAGGTGCCAAATCTTTAGGTTTCTGCCTAGCCCCACCCCACCACCTATTTGATCTTATTTGTCGTGCGTTGGGATGCTAGATCCCAACACATCCAAATCATTAGACTCACCCGTCACCTGATTTGCTGATCAGTTCCCTTGCAGGATGAGCCCCTCAAGTACAAGGGTGTGGTTTTCAACGAGATGAAGGGTGTCTACTCCAACCCGGACGCCGCGCATGGCCGCACAGCCAACCAATCGATGTTCCCAGACAACCAGTACGGTGTCGACTCCGGGGGCGACCCGACAGAGATCCCCAATCTGACCTTTGAGTACTTCAAGGTGCTGAAGAGCTGAGGGAGACAGACGGGTAGAATAGAAGTACTGTAGTGTAATGCATGAAGCGAGGCTTCAACCATCAAAGTTTTCAGTATGGGACAAGTTCCATCAACCCGGCCCCATGTCATCTTCAGGAAAGGACAATTTCAATTTTGATTTGTCCACTCAGGCCAGCCTCCGTCAAAACCTGCCAACATTGAAATATAGGGGGTTCGGCAGTAATTTACGCCTGCAAGGGATTGAATGATTCAATTCCAAGCGGATGAGCGGCATCCTGAATCAACCATCTTGCGGCTTGACCCCAGGACTTTCACAGTAAGTACTACCACCCAAGCAATGCCAAATTTTGGTTCTATGGCGATGATCCTCCAGATGCCCGCCTCGAGCTTGTGGACAAGTACTTGTCTGAGTTCTCCAAGATCGAGGCGGGGGCCATGATGGCCATGGCGGGGGCCAAGAGTCTTTAGAGTCGGTCTTTTCTCCTCTCGTCTTGTGTCTCTAAAGACTCTCTTGACCTTTTGACTCCTTTTGACTCTTGAGTTTTGAGGGTAGTCTTGTCTTTCAATGTGTGCGCAGCCAGGTGGACTCCAAGATCGATGTGCAACCCTTGTGGAAGGAGCCTCGCAGGGTCGTTGAAGAGTTTGCGGTGGGTGAAGATGAGGACACCTCCAAGAAGACCATGGTCAGTGTGAACTGGGTGATTTCAGAGGGCAAGGATGATCTTGAGACTAGCCTTGCCCTTCAGCCTTTTGGCATGACAAGATTCACCATGTAATCTAGGTGACTTTGGATGCCATGGGATGTGTGTTTTTTCTTGCTAGAGAGGGTTGATGTGTTCAGGGACGAACCTAAAGCGGTTCACTTTGTTTGGTGCCGAGGTTCTTGAACTACCTGATGATGGGAACGCCTGCGAGCCCACTGTACAAAGCATTGATTGACAGTGGCATGGGCTCCAGTGTCATTGGTGGTGGCATGGATGACGGTATGTTGCAAACGACCTTCAGCGTCGGCTTAAAAGACGCCAGGCTCGTTTTAGTGAGGCCCTTGATTGAAAAAATGGATATATAGTGGAGGAAAGAGAGAAGTTTGTTGTCCTGTACTGCTTTAAGCCCTTAGCACCTAGGTCGCCCCTAGAGCTAGATTGGCTAAAATTCAGAACAGCCGATGAGAGCCACTGAGTGAGGACTTGAAGGAAGAAGATGTGCCCAAAGTGGAGGAGCTTGTGATGAAGACCCTGGAGGATCTAAATGCCACGCGCACAGTGCGTTCAGCAGTCTAGCCTAGACTTCTAGACATGTTTCCACATGTCTTGATGGTTCCTTGCGGGTTCCCTGATGTGGGCAACACTGAAAGGATAGGCGCCTTTTCCACCAAGGGCATGCTGAGCGCTATGATGATGACAGCTGCTTAAACAGGTGTTGCCTCATTTAGCTTGGCCATGTCTTTTTGTGGACATTTGTCAAGTCAACCGATTCTTCACTAGTAGTAATGCCCTTGCTACTAGTAGCTTCTAGCTACTAGTAGCCATGGCCTCCAACCTAATAGCGATGGCCTCCAACCTAATAGCCTCTAGCTACTGCCTTTCTCACTGAATCGCTGTCCACAGGAGTTGGCCGAGAAGGGCTTCGAGAGCGACGATATCAAGTCAGCTGTGAACACCATCGAGTTCCGCAGCCGCGAGCTGAACACAGGCAGCTTCCCCAAAGGCTTGGCACTCCTCTTTGCGGCCAACAACAATTGGAACTACGACAAGGAACACTTATCTTTTTTAAAGAGGGGTAAGGGCGCTACTTGTAGTAGCTATGGTCGGTATAGGTAGCTAGGTAGCTAGGTAGCTAGTAGTAGCTAGGTAGCTACTACCGACATGACGCAGAATGGCTCGCTCTTACCTACAACTACAACACAGAGTAGGGCATAGCGGCAGAGTGTGTAATTCTATAGTAGCTCCATGTCGCCCCTCCAACGCCTTGTGATCCACAGCTTCTGCTCTTCTCCGCTCAAGGACCCCTTTGAGGCGTTGCGGTTCGAGGAGCCGTTGGCGGATTTGAAGGCGCGCCTGGAGAAGGGAGAGCCCGTCTTCCAGGACCTGATCCGCACCAAGATCTTAGAGAATTCCCACAAGGCCAGGGTTACATTGGCTTTGCCGAAAGGACAGTAGCAGTAGTCAACTTTAAGTCTGGACACTTGAGCGGAACGACTTGTTCAATAAAACGGATAATTCAACATGTCAAACGATTGGCACCTGTCCGCAGATTCACCACCACAAACCACCAGAAGTTTGTCAGATGTTCGGAATTAATATGTCTCACTGCTCCACGGTCTAATCACTTGCTTGTGTGGCTCACAGGGTCAGTCATCAAGCTTCAATGAGGAATTGCTGTATAATTCCCAATTGGATAATATTTGGTAGGATGACAATCCCCAGACATCAGTGTTTAGGCTTCAGCATTGTAAATTGTCTCTTGGAGGATGTCCTTTGTGGTGTGAGCCCAGGTGATTGTCGAGAGCAAACCCAGCAAGGAAGTGGGAAAGAAGATGGAAGAGGATGAGAAAGCCACGTGGATGGCAACAACATGATCCCTTAAAGGGCCATCTAAGTTCTTATTGGTCCAGAGTCGAGATTCCCATTTTTGTCCAACACGCGCACGCTTTTTGGCATGAGTTGTCCAAACGGGTTTGGTTCCAAGTGCGACCCGCCACCCCCAGGGAAGTATATACGGTACGTTGATGATTCGACAATAGCCTGTGTCCCGGTGCAGGAGCTGGAACATCAAAACCATCGTTGTCCCCCACCAAGTGATGGGCCGGGCAGCTGAGGCTGCATTGGAGAAACATCGAAAGACCCTGAGCGAGGAGGACATCGAAGCCCTGATCATCGAAACAGTGAAGCTGAAAGAGATCCAGGAGCAGACTGTGAACCGGAGGAGTCTGAAGTAGAACGGTCCTTTCGATGGTCGTCCTAGAATGACCCACAATGACCCTGAACCTGGACAGTGGGCACAATGTCGGGTAAATGATGATGGCTTGGGCAGATTTGGTGAGACAGATTCTGACACTCGATTTGGATTCCGAGATGCAACCCTAGAGTCCTAGAGTCTGTGATAAACGAAGGCCAAACAATGAGCAGTCATGATAGTGAGGATGTTAACCATCCACCACCTTTGGCGATTCAGGCTTGCTTCTGTCGCTGGCCTCCTTGCTGCTTCCGCGAAAGCTCCGATCAGGAGACGCCTGACTCGCCCGAGGCCATGAAGACAGTGCCGGGATTGGAGCTGGCGGACATCCCAAAGGAGATGCTTGAGATTTGAGATATCCTTGCTTGAGATATCGGTGCGACCCTGTACTCACAAGGGTCCTAACGGTCAGGGCTATGCTGGCTATTGTCATTTGGTGGGAGCGCAGTGTAGCGGTCGGGGCCGCCAGTTGTCAGTTGTGCTAGATTCGAGGAGACGCCCAAGATCCCCACAGAGATGAAGGGCTCCGAGCCTGTGGTCTTGCGCCATGCACTGCCCACGAGTGGGGTGATCTACATGGACGTTGCCTTTGACCTCTCCAGGGTGCCACAGGCCCAGGGTTTCAATGGGTTTGTTGGAGTGTGAGTTCTTTTTTTGTTGTTTGATTGTCTTGAGGTGCTCCCCAGTCATCAACCATCTCAACTCTGGACATATCTCAAATAGTAACGGCTTCGTTTCCATACAGTGAGTGTGTCATCACTGTTCGCCGTTGGTCCAAGGAGCTTCTGCCATTGGTGCCACTCTTCACCAGAGCTTTGACACAGCTGGGCACTGCCAAGGGGGACTTTGTGGACCTTACCCGGCGTGTGGGCATGGGCACTGGAGGCCGTCGGTTGCAACGCTCCATGCCCGTTTTCAAGGGTCGCCCTGACCGTGATGGTTTAGGCGTAGGCAGCTGTAGGCATGCGTGGTTTGTAGTCATTCAACTCTTTAGGAATTTGGACGCGATCAATGGTTCGGTAACGGGGTGATGGTGCCACTTGGGCTCTTGGGAGGCATTGCAGCCTCGACGATCTGCATGAACAAGAAGGGCGATCCAGAGCCTGTCGCGTATCTCTTCATGCGAGGCAAGTCGATGGCTGACCAGCTGTCTGGGCTTTCAGACTTGATGGAGGAGATTGCTTTGACAACAGATTTTGAACCTAGGATGAGCATGGATTAGCCATGAACCTTTTGTTGGACTTTGACTGTTTGGGTGCTGCGGCATTCCTCATAGGCCCATAGGCCATAGGCTTCATCAGTGTGATAGATCTCAAAGTCCCAAAGCTGGTGGGTGCTGAACTGCCCTTCCGACTGAGGATAACAAGGACCGCATTGTACAGCTGGCTACCCAGGCACGCTCCCGTGCCCAGTCAGCCATTATCTCCTCTGGCCACATGATCGCAAACGCCGGCCTGGCAGCACAGACCACCAAGGCTGGATGGTTGTCTGGATTCCTGCATTTCATTTTCTTCAAGAAACGTTCTTGATTTTGGCCCGCTGTCTGTCCACCCCATGTTTATACATAGCCCTGGCATACCCTGGCCCTAATGTTCTTAGCTGTGCACCCGGGACCCCAGTTGGTGGTTGTAAGGCAGCGAGAGGTTCCATACATGTTTTGCGAGTTTGTCTTATCTATTCAAGATGCTATTTGGTGTCTAGTCTATGCTGGTGCAACTAATCTGAGGACAATGGACCGGCGTTGAGCAGTACAAGTCTTTGTCCGACATTGTGGAGCGAATCGAGAAGGGTGGCTGGGATGGTGTGTTGCAGCAGCTGAAGGCCCTGCAAGCATGTCCCTTGGCTTGTGATAGGAAAAGCCTTGCGAACCTTTTCTTGATCATCTCTGGCTCTTAGCTGTTGGTATCGCCTGTTTCATTTTTGGCACTTGAGCTGAGGCATCTTCAACCAGGCATCCTGCAAAATCTTGAACATCACCTCCGACTCTGAGCATTTGGATGCTGCTCAGGGTTCCTTGGAGCGTTTGGCTGAGCATTTGCCAAAAGACGAGGCCAGCCCAGCGGTGCTCTTGGACCCCAGCTTGGGACGCCGTGCTGATGGCATCGTGGTGCCGACACAGGTGAACTATGTGGGGAAAGGTGGGAATTTGTATGAGAACGGCTATGATTATCACGGCTCCTCACTGGTGGTCTCCAAGTTGCTGGGTGCCACCTATCTGTGGGACAAGGTGCGGGTCAGCGGAGGTGCTTATGGTGGCTTTTGCCGCTTTGACCCTCGGAGCGGAGATTTCAAGTACCTCTCCTATCGTGACCCCAACCTGGGCCAAACTCTGGACACCTACGATGGTGCCCCTGCCTTCCTGAAGGACTTGCAACTTGGCAACGTTTTTGGGGATGACTCTTTAAAGATCCGTGTTCAAGGGCATGGAGAGGGCTAGGCCCGGGGCCGGGGCCCAGAGGGCCCAGATATGAAACCAAACTTCTTCGTTTCCAAGGCCGGCTTTTTAGAGAGGGGAGGCTGGACACCTCCGGATTCATTCGACGCTGAGAGGCAAATTGGAGAGGATGAACTGGTGAAGGCCGTGATTGGCTGCATGGGAGACGTCGATGCCTATCAGCTGCCAGATGCCAAGGGATATTCCGCAATGTTGCGGTACCTCTTGGAAGAGGATGATGAGTACAGGCAAAAGGTCAGAGATCAGCGCCTGGGCTTGCTAAGAAAAATATTGCTGAACACTACAGTGGGGTTGTGTGCACTTTCGCCTGGCTATCTGCCAGTAATGTTGTGTTCGTCTAACCACATAGCAACCTCACGTTTGACTTTAGCTGAAGAATCAGCCGGGACGGGAACATTCCGAGTTTGAGCCGCGAAGAGTTTAGCCTCAGGATTTTAGGCACCACTGTGGAGGAGCAGGGTTGGCAAAACCACAGAAGGATGTGAAAGACAACGCAGTCAAGAGGCTCTCATGGACATGTCTTGGACATGTTTCGAGATGTTTCGGAGATTTCGGCCTTCATTTGCCATTGGCACTTTGGACTGCAGGACTTCCACAAGTTCGGCGAAGCCCTGGAGCCGGTCGTCGAGAAGGGCGGCATTTGCGTGGTGGGCTCCGCCGATGCCTGTGGTGAGGCGAAGGCGGGGAGGGAAGACATGACACGTCAGCTCGGCTGAAACTACCAAGTGATGCCGCCCACAAGATGAATGCCGCTTATTTAGCGCACTGCTGGAGGTCACAGTGTCATATGCGTCTTCAATATGCGAACATATGCCGTAAATGGTTGCAACAGTTGTATTCACGCCGGCAAAAATGGTTCCCGATGTCGACCGACAAGACCAGTCCTGGTGATCCGTTTGTAAGTGCAGAGTTGCCGACGGACACTTTCGATGTCCTAGATATATACAAATATACAAAGGTGATTGATTTCCGAGGAGTTTCAATCGGGCTTTTGAGCCATGCTGCACAAAACACTTCTGCCCTGGAAGGAGAAATATGGCCTCACTCTCACCAGCCCGTTTGCAGAGGAGTGAGCCGGGCAGGCCGTCGTTTCCACGCAAAGGTGCCAACAAGGTACAGAAATGAGGCCTTGCACAGGACCTCTAAAGCACTGGTACCTTACCAGAGATGGTTTTACAATTTCGGCAGATTCTCTGCCCTGCAACAAACCACGCCCGAGAGCCAAAGACAGGCGATTTGGTTTGAGGGTGGTAGTTGGTAGTCGGCGGGTGAGCATTTCTGTCAACTCATAGTGAGCAAAGCGAGGGCTCCGCACCAAATCAACACCCAATTGCATGTTTTACTTTACAGGCATTTTGAGTTCCGAGATTGGCGTTTAGAGTCAAGAGAGCGGCCTGAATTAGACGGATATTTATGGACACCTTCAGGAGGTGAGGGGTGAGGATGGATGGCCACAGAACAAAGCTGCCATTCCACCCCCATCACTGAACCCTGTCAGATCCAATTGAACAATTGAAATTGCCCCGCACCGAGCTGAACCAAGGCTCTACTATGCCCGGAACCCCCGGAAGGCCTTGGAGTTGGCCTCGGAGGCCACGCAGGCAGTAGACTTTAAGGAGAGAAAGGGCGCTGAAAGGGCTGAAGATTTCGCCAGTTCGGAGGTGGGTGCCTTTTCGCCTTTCTTCCGAATTGTTGCGCAGCTTGCGAGCAGAAGATACAAAGCCGAAAGCCCTCTCCTCTTCCGCTGTTGACCCAACTGTTGACCAAAAAACAAGAGCGTGGCGAGTGGAAACAATAGATCACGAGTCCCTCTACCAGTTGGGAAAGCTGGAGCCCAATATTGCCATGACGAATCTTTAACCGAAGTCGTCTAGCTCGGGAGGACTGGTGGTGGAAGGCCCGGTTGGGCAAGGCCTACTACCAGCTTGGCTCCTCGCCACATTTCGCCGCTCTATAAACTCTAGCCTTTTTGTGATTCCAGTCGCTTGTGAGGGAGCTAAGCATGCCGATTGGACCAAGTTGAGCCTTTACTTTGGAGATTTGTCTTCATGCAGCCAAGTCTAAATTCTCAGAACCAGCCCCCGAGTTTGTAGCACTTCTGATGTTTCTTCGATTTGACGCCGTGCCGTTCTCTTTGGCCGACACCAGGTCAAACTCATTCTCCCTTGAGGCCTGCTCAGAGACGCCGAGAAGCAGTTCAAGAGTGCACTGAAGGATGAGGAGATGATCTCCACGCACCTGGAGCTTTGCAAGGTCTACTTGCGAGACTTGGCCGCGCTCGAGCGGCGAGAGTGCTCTCGGCAGAGAGAGCACGTCGGAGTGCTCTCTAAAGGCTCTTTTCGACTTCAGGTTCTTGAAGCTTCGTCATCCGTAGAGGCTCCTCAAACAAAGCTGGCTGCAGCATTAAGTGGTGTGCTGAAATGGAGGGCTTGTTACACAAGTGGTCGTTCGCCCTATCCATGTACGTGAGTTGGACGGTATTTTGAATTTGGACAGTTCTGATGGTTCTCAAATCGCCCCGCTGTTCCAAATAAAAGACCAACCCTTGCCCGGGATGAGCCACACAGTGCTGTTGATCCAGAGAAGCATCATTTGGGATTTGCCAGGGGTTGTGCAAATATGTCAAATATGTGCACATCACGATTGACAAGGCCTCCATTGTTTCCAGGTTGTTGAGGATTTGATGAGCTGTTGATGATCGGAGAGTATTGGTGAGATGCGGAGTGACGCGGCAAACTCTCCGGTCCACCTCAGGCTTAGATCAGCCGAACTCCGCCCTGGACCAATACGGCCGGGCAGCTGAGAAGTTCACGGGCGAGACGCACATCTTGATCGGCCTGGCGAGGACCTATGACATGCTGAATGCACTGCTGCGGGGCGTCAGCTTTTACAAGACGCTGCGCTGCAGGTGATGATCGCTCCGTTTACTCCGATATGTAAGTTGGGCATGATTGATGTTGATTGGGTTGTGTGCATGAACGGCCCTTCGGTTTTTCAACATTGCCCGGCCCGCCTGAATCAGGAAGGTGCTCCAGTTTGATGCCGTAAATTCAGAGGCCATTGCCTGCTTGGCATCCCACCATTTCTACACTGATCAGCCGGAGCTTGCGCTGCGCTTCTACCGGCGCATGCTGCAGAATGGTGTGACGAGTGCGGCCACGTTGCTGGAATGGTCCGGAGGGTTTATGTTTGCAGCATGGGGGAGGTGAGAATGGTGTGACCCCTTTGGCCAAACCAATTGGTTTGACGTATTTATAGTTAATTATGTACCGTACAAGTGGATCACGAATCGTGGCCTTCAACCGTGCTGTCTCACAAGACACACAGTCACGGTGTGTGTGTGTGCGCGCGCGTGTGACATTTTTGCCAAGGAGTTGTGGAACAATATGGGCCTTTGCTGCTTCTACGCTGGGCAGTATGACCTCACTCTTAGCTGCTTTGAACGTGCTCTTATGCTGGCAGATGATGACAATATGGCTGACGTGTGGTACAACATAGGGCAGGTGTGGATGTGATCAAGTCCTGTTAATGTGACTTGTGTGCTTGTGTCGAACGGGGCCACAGGCCAGGAAAGATGCCAGAACTCGGAATATCGCCCGGCAGGTGGCGATCGGCGTGGGAGATCTGGGCCTGGCCTACCAGGCCTTTAAGATCGCCATCTCGGTGGATCCCAACCACGCGGAGAGCTACAACAACATCGGCGTCCTCGAACTGCGAAAGGCTCTTTTTGATGCGTGCTTTCATAAAAAAGCGGGGATGAGACGGAAGGAATCTGCAGGGTTATTAAGAGCTAAAGTTAAGTCTAAGAGTATGTTAAGTTGTTCTGTGGGCGTATGTATGTTGGATCGGAAGCGAGTGGTTGGGAGACTCCCTAGTTTCGTACAGGCAAATGTATACTGTAATTACATATATATATATATACACAAATATATAATTGCATAGTATCTACGTATTTCGGCATATTTGGATGGTTTTCGCTGGGCATGGAGAACATGGACGAGGACAGGCAGAGCGAAACAGCCTGTCCTAAGTTTTCTCACCAGGCACGACGCTGCAAGATCATCCGACCTAGCAAAAAATGGAACCCTCCAAAAGCCAATCCAGCAGCGGCAGTCGTCGTTGCCTTGGAGTTTCCATCATGAGGCACCTTTTCCTGTGTTTGTCCGCCGGTCCAGGGCAATGTGGAGCAAGCGCAAGCGCAGTTTGGCACCGCCATGCGGTTGGCCCCACATCTCTTTGAGCCAGCCTTCAATGGAGGGCTCCTGGTGTCTTGGATTGTGATGAGGTCCCCAACGCACAGAGCACGAGCCAGAGGTCGCCTTCTTGGTTTCATAGATAGTGACAGGGATTTCCAACTATGTACCGGCGGCTGCTATTGTGCAGAGTCCAGCCAGTGGTGGCAATGAACATGTCAGCAGGCTCCTTTGTACATTATACAGGTTTCTCAGGTCTTGGATGCCTGCTCAAAGCCTGTTGAGTGAGTTGGATAGGACAGGAGCATTTAGAAGGCATTGCAACCTGCTTAAGGCCTTCAAGCTTGGAGAGTTCCAGGATAGCTTCGAACTGGCGAACAAGGCACTTGAGGCCCGGATGTTGGCAGTCAAAAAGTTGCTTTGAACGTCCCTTCCCATCTCGGATCAGGAAACTATTTCCGGTTCAGGCTTGAGTCCTCTGACAAATTGGTATTGAAGGCTCACACCACTGTACTACTGCTAGTGGATGTGAATTTGAGGCCTACCCTGAGCACATCGAAAGCAAGGAGCTCATCAAGCAGCTGAAAGCGCACTTCTCCTCCCTCTGAGGCAAGACGCTGGTCGCATGGCCGAGGTCATGGCAGATGCAGATGTGTCACCCTGAAACAAAGAGGCTGGAGCTCCAGAAATGGCGCCACAAGAGCTTCCGCATGCTCTCAGCAGCTCAAGACTGCCCAAGGGACCGAAGGACCACATAGCGCACAGAACTTCGTTCGACTCAAACTTGGAGTTGTATAGTATGGTCCTTTGATCAGGCAAGAGTGGCAAGAGCAGCCAAGACAAGGGATCACAAAGTATCGCCAGAGCTGATAGAAGATCCAAGAGGTAGAAATCGCTTGTTGCTCTCTTGCAGCTGAAGTGCAACCAGGCAGAGATTGGAATTTCATCTCAGTGTAGCCAGAAGCGAAATACATGGCCAAAGCATGCATGTACCTCCCCTCTTTCACGCCTTGTGCGGAAAAACGATCTTTTGGCTGCCATGCATGGTGCGATTGCTTTCACCTCCCTTGGTTGTCCGTTGATGAGCAAGAGCAGAACAAAACATGAAACATCATGAAACCTATATTAAATGAACTGAGAAACATCTCCGCCACAACTTCTCCAGTTCCTGTTAGCCCTTGAGATCCTTTGAGTAGTCCTTTGAGTATATCCCGGTTGAGGGCCTCCTCCACCTCCAGGTTCCCAAGGTGCGCGCGGAGCTTACACGGCGTGCAGCCACCGTGCCGGTGAGCATGGTACCGACCAGGTGGGGTGGATTGAAAAGAGCTGGTTGGCCGGACTCAACAGGGTGGACGGTTCATTGCCCATGTGAGCAATTTGCACTTGTTTCTAGTAGCTTCTTGTTACTACTAGTAAGGCACTTGTTTCTAGTAGCGTGGCACCTGTTACTAGTAGCTTCTTGGCCTGACCTGCTGCTTTAATCTACTATGTGTTTTGAATCGCATGACCCACGATGCGATCACCAACCTGGTCGAGGAGAGTGGTTGTGATTCAATCTTGGAAAAGTTCTTGACCTACAAGCATTCAATAGATTTGATTCATTGAGCTGCTCTTTTGGTTTCACTTGCAGCTTGCATGCACGAGTGCAATTGGCACAGGTGCCAAATAGAACAGCAAGAAGACCTGCTCACTTCTAGTGTGGCCTTCTGGGTTTCGATGACCAGATTTGAGCACACAGATCATGAAAGCCGCCCAGATCACCTCGCTTGGAGTGCAAGCAGATGGGAGAAAACGAGGCGGGATCGATGCACTGCCATTGTGAGTGGTGCCATGAGCTGCAAGGGTAAGCTGCAGGAAGGTGATAGTCCTTTTGTAGCGTGTTTAAGGAGGCTCTTTGTTTCCAGTATCCAGGGTAGCTCTTATAGTAAGATTGTGTTGCTAGGTGGTGGCAGAACAATAGAAGGGTCTGCTTTGTCCAATGGTTTTTTGGGCAGTGATCTGAACCACCCCGAGGCCAAGCACAGCCTCAGTAAACGCATTTGATCTTACATACTGAAGACACTGGATGTGTCTGGAGCTTTGAGCTGTCTACTTAGTTCAAAATGCTTTGCCACCCTTGGAGGAGGAGCAGGGACTTTGCCGGGAAGCTTGGGAGGGCATCCCCACGGTGAAGGGAGCTCAGAAGTGTCATTGTGTAAGAACAGGATTTGATCGCCTGAACTTCTTGTGAAGAATCCATGACGGTTGACGTTGGACGCTTTCCTTGCTGCTTGAACGTTGTTTGTGGACGCCGCCGCATTTACATACAGAACATCGATGTTGGCAAGCTTGAAAAGAGCGCAGCTTTGCTTTGCTTTTTCGCGGTGTTTGCACACACTTTCATTTGCAGTGCGCCTTGGTTCTTTTGTGGTTGCGCCCCTAAGACTGTTTTTGGGAGTGGCGCCCCGTCAGATCCACATTGGTAGCGGAGCCCTGAGGGGCAGTAGGTTTGGGGGATACAACCTTCACCTCGCTCTCTTGCGAGAGCCATGGCCGAGCCGGCCCATGGTACCACGGCGGCTGATGCCTCGCCGCCTGAGCTGCCTGCGGCAGCTGATGGAGCAGAGCTGGATGGTGCGGCTGTTCCTCTACCGCCTGAAGATCCATGGCACCAAGGACAAGACCCTTGGAGTGGAGTGTCTCTAAATGCATCGGGATCGGAGCCTGGCAAGGGTACAGAAAAGGGTTCTGTGCCGGCTGTTGGAAGCTTCGTAGACCCTGAGCTCCAGAGACAGAAAGGAAAAGGCAAAGGTGGAAAAGAGAAAGGTGGTAAGGGAGGGAGTCTTCAAACACCTATGGCTGTTGATGCAACCTTCCCCATGTCCAGCAGTTTTCCCCACAGCATGCCACCAACTCCATGGACAGCACCTGTTCCGACCTCACCCAGAGTCCAGTGGAGGGATGACAACACCGTGGAGCCAGCCTCAGATCTATGCATCCGGGTTGGGACACATGGGACAGCCACCACAAGGGTTCGTGCCACCAGCAGTTCCAATGCCACCCAGGTCCATGTTTTCCAGGATCACAACCATGGGTGATGCCTGGTTTTGTATGGCCACCTGGACAAGCACCGGCAGGAGCACCAGCCGCTCCCAGTTCCAATGGTTCATGGTCTAAGCCAACGGGATCTGAACCGGCACCAAAGCCCTCCAAGAAGAAGGAAACCACGAAGAGATCTTCCAATGTCCCGGAAGGTGATCCGACGGGCTCAGATCCAGATGAACCTGATGAGACGGCATCACAAAGATCATCTACAGCAGCCACCTCGGACATCAAGTCAATGCTGAAGCGCAGGCTGCGACAAGAAGAAGGGTACCGGTTCTCTCGGTTCCGTGAAGGTGGAGGAATTCTACGGAGACAGAACAAGGTACCTGAAATGGAAGAGGACAATTCAAGCACAGCAGCACCTATACGCCTTGGAAGGCAATGAGCTCTCCATGCTCATCTACCTGTCCACTCGTCGTGAGGCCAGAGATGTCGTGGAGCAGAACCCCATCCAGGCCTACACCGAAGCAGGAGGCTTGCAGCTTTTGTGGAAGGTGCTTGATGAAGCTTTTGGTGAAAGTGATGCTGAGTTGTTTGAAAGGGTGGACAAAGAGCTTGAGCGTTGCAGGAGGCAGCCTGGAGAAACAGTGGCCCACTACCTCTCCGAGATGAAACGGCTTCGGGCTCAGTACAGTCGTGTTGTCCCGGAGTCAAAGATTTCGGATATGGCTTGGGGCCAGAAGTTGCTGCAACGGGCCTCCCTGTCTCGCCGGGAGAGGCATGATGTCTACTATGCTGCAGGGGCTTGCTTCCATAGTGTGGCCATCGAGAAAGCACTTCGAGTACGCTGTGGCCGCATTCATGAAGACGAGAAGAGAAGCAGCTTCAAGTACAATGATGACAAGCAGCTGAGCTATCGACCAAAAGGCCAGCAGTTTTTTCAAGAAGAAGGTCATCGTGAAGAAGCAGCATGGTGTACATGTCGCCAAGCCCGAAGGTGAGTGTGAGGAGGAAGACCCAGAGGAGCTAAGAGCTGAAGAAGAAGAAGATCCTATGGATGTCCTCTTTGAAGATGAGTTCGAGCCTGGTGAAGATGAAGCAGCAGAGGACGGAGAGGAAGACGATGAGTTGGAAACCGAAGAACTGAAGGAAGTCTTCGCAGCGGGCTGGAAGGCGAAGCAAAAGATGGCAGAAGTGAGGAAACATCGAGGATGGAAGCCTGCAGGAGGAGGAAAAGGTCAAGCAGAGAAAGGAGCTGGAAGGAGCGTTGACCTGAAGAAGAAAACCAGCACATGTTCCTCATGTGGGAAGCTAGGGCATTGGAAAGGAGACTCCTGCTGTCCAAATGTTCTGAGTGGTCGAGACCAACCCATGTTCCACAGGCTAATGCCAAGAAGGTGGCTCAGACCGTCCACTTCACCTTCATGACTGGGGGAGGCTATGAAGATGAAAGGTCAAGGAAGAAGAAGACTTGTGGGACGTCGTGGAGCCTCCTGTTCCGCCTCCACCGTTCACCTTTGAAGCGCCGAGGAGTACAGCCTTGGCAGCGGCAGCCATGAACCCAGGAAGCAGCTCGAAGGGGTGTGGATCCGTCAAGCTGCAAACCAAAGAGGTCCTAGCTGCCCTACCAAGTATGACAAAGGAGGATAAGAAGAAGCTTCAGAAGGCACTGAAGGAGGAGGAAGACCAGACGGCTTATGAGAGTTGAGAAGGCTGAGAGCATGC